GTTTAAAGTTTCCCACTTTCTCGAGGTGCTTTAAAGCAGGGGTCTCCAACTTTGGTAACTTTAAGCCTGGAGGACTTCAATTCCCAGAATTCTGGGAATTGAAGTCCTCCAGGCTTAAAGTTGCCAAAGTTGGGGTCCCCTGCTTTAAAGGGTTCTCTATTCAACAATTCCCATCGCTGTTTTTCTTCTATCCTGAACAGCCCCGAAAGGTCTCCGTGGGGAGCCTCACCTTGCCCTCTGGAGGTCACCAAGGAAAACTGTGCTCGGCACTCGGTTGTGCTGTGGGATTTTTGTTCAAAAAGAAAGAAAGAAAGAAAGAAAGAAAGCCGGGGAAGAGAGGGTGTGTTTGTGTGCATGTGCGAACGAGGGACCTGCTCTCGCTCTCTCGATGGAAGGCTTTCATTTAGCAACGGGAGTTTTGCAAGCAGAGGAGGAGCGGTGAGAGCAGATCCCATGTGCTTCTCACCAGCTTAGCCATCGCCTCTCCCGTCAGCATAGGTGAGAGAGGCAGGAGGAGAAGTAGGTCAGCCTCCTTCTGGAGTAAGCTGGGTGTGCAGGAGCAACCCCTCCGTTTCAGGTCAGGTAAAAATAGATACTCCTGAGTGAAAGTGAAGGGACGGATTTGGAGTGCCGGATAAGCGCAGACTTTCTCCCTGCACCCGTTGCGCCGCTCGCCATATGCTTCCCCGGACAAACGCCAAAAACCAGATTTAATTTTTGTCGTCGTTGCGATGTGTGTGTGTGTGTGTGGAGAGGGGATTGTAAGGATGGATGGAGAGAAGTCATTTGCTTATAGACCCCACAGGTGCCTTGAACCGCAAGGTGGGCGCCAATGCATTGGATGATCATCAGAAATACAAGGAAATAAAGGTCCTTGGCTTACGACCACAGTTCAGCTCCACATTTCCGTTACCAAGCGAGACAGTTGCCGAGTGAGTTTTGCGACCTTTCCTGTCCTTACGTGAATCACTTGCAATCGTTAAGTTACGAACACAGTTGTTAAGGGAATCGGGCTTCCCCCCATGGACTTGGCTCACCAGAAGGTCACAAATGGGATCACCTGACCCTGGGACACTGCAACCGTCATAAATACGAGTCTGTTGCCAAGCGTGTGAATTTCGATCAGAGGTTGATCACGTGACGACAGGGTTCCCTCCACAGTCTTAAGTGGGAAGAAAATGATCATGAGTCACTTTTTTCAGTGCCGTTGCAACATCGAACGGTTTACTCGTCAAATGGCCGTAAGTCAAGGACTAGCCTGTATTCAAGAATGCAACTCAACAGTTTCTGGATCCCGAATGCTGATTTTTTCCCTCTCTAAACTGAGTCGCGTCCATTCAGGCCAGGGGTGCCAAACTCAATTTCATTGAAGGCCGTATCAGGGCTGTGGTTGACCTTGAGGGGGCGTGGCCAAGTGGGTGGGTGTGACCAACTGGGTGGGCGTGGCTAGTTTGACCCCACTCCCCAATCTGCTGGCATGTTTCCTCTTTGCATTGGGTAGACCAGGACGGCACTGCGGGCCAGATCCAACCACATCGCAGGAGACATTCGGCCCGCGGGCCTCGAGTTTGAGACCCCTGATTTAGGCAATCAAAAGAGTAGATAAAGTGGCAGCAATTTTCTCCACCAGCTGTATCCAAATATCTGGAAAGGCTTGAGCTAAGGAGTCCGGGCAAACCTCCGTGTAAAATTAATATTTTAAGCACAGCGCTGGAGGCTGGAGGCTTAGCACGCTCATCCCAACTCAGCTGGCTTGAGTCGCTTGTACGAAATCGTAACGGCATTCTTCTACTTCTTCTTCTTCTTCTTTTTTTTTCCCCCTTAAAGAAACTCTCATTTTGAGCAGACAGAGCAAACTCGATTATGCTACTGATTATTAAATTACGGCAAGGCCACTTTGCTCCAAACCTGCCATTTCAGGATTGTTGCTTTTTTTCTCCCTGGCGCTGGAAATAGCTGAAGATCTTTTGGGTTGCAATGCGAGGGTGAACGAAACGGCCCCATTCACACAAGCCTAAGAAAACCATCGTCACCACTGACTTTTTGGAGGGCTGCCTTGAGGAGGAGTTTGAAAGGGGGGGGACAAAGGGCGTGTGGAAGAAAAGGAATTTCCTTCGACTTAGAACCAGAGCCAAGCTTCTAGTTCTCAAGGTTGTGGAATGGAATGGAATGCAGAATAACTGAATAACAACAGAATTAGAAGGGACCTTGGAGGTCTTCTAGTCCAACCTTTGCTTCAGCAGGAAACCCTATGCCATTTTATAGGGTTTGTAGAATAGAATAAAATATAGAATAGGCTTTATGGAATATTCTATTCTATTCTATAAACTATAGGGAGGAATAGAATAGAATAGAATAGAATAGAATAGAATAGAATAGAATAGAATAGAATAGAATAGAATAGAATAGAGGAGAGAGGTGGCATCTTTTAAGAAACTTGGATGCCAGGTTTACGAAGTCCCTTCTTTCAAATAAATCAGTGATATTTGTTCCTTCTTTAGCTCTTCTTCCCCTTCATGGTTGCAGAGCAAGCTGGGTGTTTTATTGTTTTGGCTTTGCAAAACCGGTGGGTTTTGGGAAAAGCTGAGTGGGATTGATGGGAACAAGGTGACGGGAACGAGGTTGGAAAGGCCCTTAGGAAGCATGTTGTGCCTTCAAACACAGGCAGAAAATTCAATTTTGTTCCTGCGGGCCTCGATAGGGTCATAATTTTCTTCCTCGGGGCCCCTTCTGGGCTGCTGAAGTTTCTCCAACTACGGCCCCACCGGTCCTAAAACTGTCACCGAAGGTCTTTGGTGCTCTGTTTCAATGTGCGGCTTTGAAAGCTGGGAAGTCTCTTTGCCAGAAGCCGACCTTCTCAAAATATTGAGAAAGATTTCTTCCTGCTTTCTGGCCCTTAAGGATACCTGGGTCACCCCTTAAGAATCACCAGTGTTAGAAATGACAGGATGCAAGCAAAAAAATAAATAAATACAGTGATGAACAAAGGTAATATATGTGTCCCGGGATAATGTTGCAGGATCCGGTCTGAGTCAGTCACGGGGACGAAACGGGAGGTTTTGGGCTCATGCTGGAGCCCATCCTCAGCGAACTTCTCTTTCGCTAGAATGTGTGCACTGGGTCAACATATTAAAAAAAAGATGTTGAGACTCTGGAAAGAGTGCAGAGAAGAGCAACAAAGAGGACTAGGGGACTGGAGGGTTAAACATACGAAGATCGGATGCTGGAATTGGGTATGTCTGGTTTAATGAAAAGAAGGACCGGGGTGACATGATAGCAGTGTTCCAATATCTCAGGGGCTGCCACAAAAAAGAGGGAGTCAAGCTATTTTCCAAAGCATCTGAGGGCAGGACAAGAAGCAGCGGATGGAAACAAGGAGGGAAGCAACCTGGAATTGAGGAGTAACTTCCTAACAGTAAGAACTATTAACCAGGGGAACTGCTTGCCACCAGACGTTGTGGATGCTCCAACACTGGAGGTTTTTAAGAAGAGATTGGATAGCCATTTGTCTGGAATGGTATAGGGTCTCCTGCTTGAGCAGGGGGTTGGACTAGAAGACCTCCAAGGCCCCTTCCAACACTGTTATTCTGTTATTTTGACAGTTCTACCCATTGTATTTATATGGTGCCTGGTTGTGTGTAGTTTTTAGTTGTTAATTAGGGTGTTGATGGCTATTAAGTTGTTGATTGTTGTTCCAGATTCAGTGCTGAGTTGGAGAATTAAGGGAGTTGTGGAATGGGCTGGTCCCCGGAGAATGTGGCTTAGCTTTTTGCAGAATAATTTATTTGTAGGGGTCCTTAATTTGATGCTTGGGGCTACAGTTATGGGGGAAAGGGATCCTGTTAAGAGAAGACCTCGCCTCTCCTTGTGTGTATCTCGCTCCCTTCCTCCCTGTCTTTTAATTGTAAAAAATCTTCTTCTTGTTGTTGCTATTTATTATTTTCATTTTTACTGGCTTTGTTTGAATGTTTGTAAGCTGCCCAGAGTCGCCTCTAGTCTAATAAATGCATAAAAAGAAATAAAAAGACTGGATCCCGGCTGCAGTTTCCTGCCCTCTTATCACCCTTTGCCGTTCTCGTCTGAAAGTTACACAAAATGACACAATTCCTTGATGGGCCTCAAGGCTAAAAACCACAATACAGGTAGTCCTCGATTGATCTCGAAATATCCCTTGCTATCCAAGACTGTTGTTAGGTGAGTTTTGCTCCATTTTACAACCTCGCTTGCCATAGCTCTTAAGTGAATCACTGCGGTTGCTAAGTTAGTAACATGGTCATTAAGTGAATCTGGCTTCCTCCATTTGACTTTGCTTGTCAGAAGGTCACCAAAGGGGGATCACGTGACCCCGGGACACAGCAACTGTCGTAAATACAGGCAGTCCTCGACTTACGACCAGTTCATTTAGTGACCATTCAAAGTTACGACAGCGCTGAAAAAAGGGACTTAGGACCGTTTTTTTCACAGTTAGAACATTTGCAGCATCCCTACAATCATGTGATCAAAATTCAGCTGCTTGGCAACTGACTCACATTTATGACCGTTGCAGTGTCCCGGGGATCATGTGATCCCCTTTTGCAATCTTCGGACAAGCAAAGTCTACGGGGCAGCCAGATTCCCTTAACAATTGGATTCCTAACTTATCCCTGCAGTGATTCACTTAGCAACTGTGGCAAGACATGTCGTAAAAAGGGGACAAGGCTCACTTAACAAAATGTCTCCCTGAACGCCAGACATTGGGGCTCAATCGTGGTCATAAGCCAAGGACTACCTGTACGAAGCAGTTGCCAAGCATCCGAATGTTACAAGGATGGTAAGTTGTGAAAACGGGTCATAAGTCACTTTTTTAAGTGCCGTTGTAACTTGGGTCACTAAATGAGCTGTCGTAAGTGGAGGACTAGCTGTCGTTGTTTCGCAGGTTCATCACAGCCGGAGAAAGTGATGGCTTTCGGGAATTCTTGCGATGCCTCACAAGATTTTGTCTCTTGTTTCCTTTCCCGCAGAAGATGGCGAGTACTTCCTTAAGGTCCTGATTCCCAGCTATGCCGCCGGATCCATCATCGGCAAAGGGGGCCAAACCATCGTCCAGTTGCAGAAGGAAACCGGAGCCACCATTAAGCTCTCCAAATCCAAGGATTTCTATCCAGGTGAGTGGACCAATCCGCCTTTCTCTAGCCAAGCACAGCGGAGATGCTTAAAAAGAGCAGGTATTATTTTTGCTCCCGGGATACGATTTAATTTTTTTCCTGAATATTGTAGGGCACTTTGTACGTTTCTGGATTGAATGTTGACTCCAAAATGGAGTACAAGTTAGTCCTCGGCTTACGACCACAATTGAACAATTCCCCAGCCAGCATGCTAGCGAACTTGAAAATGTGTGGACTTCAACTCCCAGAATTCTGAGAATTGAAGTCCACTTATCTTAAAGTTGCCGCAATTGAGAAGCATTGACTGCTTGAACCCTGCGTGGACTGTGAATTGTCGTCTAGCAGAGGCATGATGGGAGTTGTAGTCCCAAAGCCCCAGAGGACTTCAAATCCTAGAATTCCCCAGCCAGCATGATGGTGAACTTTAAGGTGCGTGGATTTCAACTGCTAATTGTCTTAGTTGGCTGGGGAATTCCGGGAGTTGGTCCACAGGTCTTCAAGTTTGAGAAACGCTGACGTGCTGTATTTCTGTTTGAGCTGTGCTAAGGCTGTGAAGCCTCGTCTTGTAGGGACGTGATGGGAGTCGTAGTTCCAAAGCTCCCAGAGGTTTCTCAACAGGGAATAGCAAGTCTAGGTCTCTCCACTCCCCACTTCCTTTGCATCTAACCTTGTGTCCATTTCCCTGCCCAGGCCTTCCTCTGTCCTGATGGTGCCAAATCCTATCCTTCCATATTCAGAGAAGGCTGAAGGATCTGCAGAGGGCACCCTGGGCTCGGACTGGGACGGTGTTGTAGCCTGTCGACCACCGGCCCCTTCAGCAGCTGAATCGGAGGAGGAGGAGGAGGAGGCGTAGGAGTCAGGGCCAGCCTCAAGGCAACCTGAGAGCTCCGAGGGGGAAGAGGGAATGGAGCTGGCAGAGAGAGAGACGGAGGCAGAGTCTGGGCCGTCCGTCAGCCCTCAGATGGAGAGTCAACAGCCCCCAGGTCTGGAGGTGGCTGATGAGGAAGAGGAGGAACAGCTGGGTCCAGTGGCTGATAGAAGGCAGAGGAGAGGAGAGCAGTGGAAATCTATGGGCCGGTCCTTGGGAGGGAAGAGCCACTGCTGCACCCTAGCTCTGGGGATAAAAGGCAGGGAGTGGAGAAGAATAGATGTGGCAGACAACTATTCAGCTCCCTGCCAGACAGCCCTGTTAGCCTGCGGTGAGAGAGAAAGAGAAACTTTTTGCCGGGGCTTCTGGCGCTCCTCATAAAGGAGTCATTGCTTCAACTACAGAGGGTTTGTCGTGTCTGGGGAGCTGGCTCAGAAGAGAAGGGGTGGGGAGCCTGGAAGAGCAAGCCCAGGCTGCAGCGAGGACCGGATGAGCATGCGTGTGCCTTCTCCTGCCCTCTTTTTTTGGGTCTCTTTAATCCCAGCTGGGATTGAAGGACACACAACCTTTGGGTGGGGCAACTCTGCTAAGCCGCTTTGCCTTCTCAACCCTTGATAGCTGGTTTAGAGAGGCCGGGAAATCCTCCCTGATGCAAAAATAAAATAAAATAAAATAAAATAAAATAAAATAAAATAAAATAAAATAAAATAAAAATAAAGGATGCTTGGGCGGATGAGAGAGAGAGATGAAGAAATCGGCCTGGATGGTGTTGCCATGGCGATGGGGAGCAGGTGCCCTATTTGCCGGCAGCTTCCGGGAGGGAGCCCCCCCTCCCATTCCCTCCCCTCCCCTTTTTCTCCTAAGGGGAAGGGAACCCCTCTCTATTCGACAAGATTTTGGCAGCTGTGGAAACGTAGCGCGAAAAAGAGGCAGAGCCAGGTGCCCTTGACGGCGCCTGGCGCTTCGGGAGCATTTGCAAAAAAAAAAGCTCCCTGCCTTTGCAAAAATCCCAGCCTGGTGTTGTGTGAGGAATTAATCCCAGGGAGGGCTGCTGGGCAATCCGGCTGACAAATCCAGCGGTTTGCAGCTCCTTCTGCCGGCTGGAAGGGCAGCTTTTGGTGCCAGCCGGAGGGTTGGCGAGGGGGGGAGGCCTGGGCAGGGAAATGGCAGAAAGCTCGATGCAAAGGTCAGGAGGAGGGGGACGGAGAGAGCGAAACTGGCTTTTCCCACCTCAGAAACCTCTGGGGGCTTTGGGACTACAAATCCCATCATGCCCCTGCAAGACGAGGCTTCACAGCCTCAAGCAGAAATTCAGGCAGTCCTTGACTTACAACAGTTCATTTAGTGACCGTTCGAAGTTACAACAGCACCAAAAAAAGTGACTTAGGACTGTTTTTCACACAACCGTTGCAGCAACCCCAAGGTCAGGCGATCAAAATTCAGGTGCTTGGCAACCGACTCATATTTATGACGGTCGCCATGTCCCGCAGGGTGACGTGATCCCCTTTTGCAACCAGCAGAGTCCATGGGAAAGCCAGATTCACTAAACAGCCGTTAACAAAGGCGGCCATTCGCTTAAGAACCCTGGGAAGAGAACCCCTAAAATGGGGCCAAACTCGCTTAACCAACGTTTCCCTTAGCAACCTAACTTTGGGGCTCCGTTGTGGTCGTAACTCAAGGACTCCCTGTACAGAATTGCTGGCTTCGGAAAAGGAACCTCACTTTTGCAAGCAGAGATGAAAAGTTCCGTCCAGATTTCCAATTTCCTGTTGCCGAGGAGGACGGCATTTAAAATCTGTGTTTTTATAATCCGGACCCCTAATTTGGAAAGGGGAGGAGGAGGAGGAGGGTCAGCCTGCCAAAAAATAAGGGAGGGGTCTCCTCTGGATCCCAACCAGGGGTGCTACAATCATCCTGCGCCCCCAATTTGCATCCTTGGAAGTATTTTTTGCTTGGGACCTTCTGCCGAATTTTGGCATGGGATGTTTTGAAGCAACGGAGCTTTTGGGTGAACGGAAAGGAAACAGGAAGGGCTGGTTGGGCAGGGCTGGACCGGCCGGCGGGGGGGAAACGGATTGAATGGCAGGAAACGGGCCTGGTGATAAGGTGACGGGCAGGACACGGACTGGGAGGCAGCCCTTCAGGGATGGGGAGGCCTGGAGCCGATGGGGACGATTTGAAGCCGATGAAGGACGGTTGCGGGAATTGGGTACGGCCAGTCTAGAGACAAGAAGGGCTGGGGGGGACAGGAGAGCAGTCTTCCAGTATTTGAGGGGCTGCCACAAAGAGGGGGGGGGTCCACTTGTTTTCCAAAGCTCCAGAAGGCAGGAGAGGAAACAATGGATGGAAATTAATCAAAGAGAGAAGCAACCTGGAATTCAGGAGAAACTTCCTGACATTGAGGACAATTAGCCAGTGGAACAGTTTGCCACCAGAAGTTGTAGGTGTTCCACCAGTGGAGGTTTTTAAAATGAGACTGGACAGCCATTTCTCCAAAATAGGGTCTCCTGCTTGAGCAGGGGGCTGGACTAGAAGACCTCCAAGGTCCCAACTCTGTTATTCCATTCCATTCCATTCCATTCCATTCTATTCTATTCTATCCTATCCTATCCTATCCTATCCTATCCTATTCTGAGAAGCCACCTGGCATTAAGGAGAAACTTGCTAACAGTGAGGACAACTAACCAGTGGGAGCCCTATCTCGAGGGTGGGAGGTGTCTCTTCCTTAATTCCAGAGGTGCCAAGAAGCACCTTCTGCACATGCTCAGGAACACATCCACCAGGGCAGCTTCCCATCAACCAGGGATGCCTCCCCCCTCCCAATATCAGATTCTGCGGGTTCCAATACGGTAGGTGTGGGAGGGGTGCTTTGTCTCCTCCCCAATGCCTCTTTTTCACACCTCCCCCCCCAGCCGGCTTTGGATGAGACCCCGGCAAAAGATGATAGGGCTGCCAAGGCCACGTGGGCAAAGTGGTCCCCTCTTTTCATCATCCTCCGGTTGCCTTGGCGATAGCCTCCTCCCCTCCCCCACCAAGCTGCCTCCTTTTTGCCAATGAGGGGGTGCCGGTTGCCGTGGCAATGGGCCCTGGAGGCCAGCCGCCACGGATTGGGAGGTGGCGGGCGGGGAGAGCCGCCGTGGGTTGCCATGGCAATCGCAAGCCGGGGAAGAGAAGCCGAGGATGCGGGACCCATCTTGAGGATGGGGGGAGTGTTGAATGGGGGCAAGCAATTTGCTGGAGGGTTCAGTCTTCTAGACATCCTTATCTCCTCCTCCTCCTTTTCCTCCTTCTGTTTTTCTTTTTCCTACTTCTCTTTCTCCTTCTCTTTTTTCTTGTGTGTCCAATCACACTTGGCCAATAAAGAATTCTAATTCTAATTCTATTCTATTCTATTCTATTCTATTCTATTCTATTCTATTCTATTCTCTGCCTTCCTTCCTTCGTTTGTTCCTTCCTTCCTTCCCCTTCCCTCTCTTCCTTCGTTCCTTCGTTCCTTCGTTCCTTTCTTCTCTTCCTTCCTTCCTTCCCTCCTTCTCTCTTTCCCTCCTTCTCCTTCCTTCCTTTGTTTCTTCCTTCCTTTGTTCCTTTCTTCCTTCCTTCGTTTGTTTGTTCCTTCCTTCCTTCTCCTCCCCCACTCCTCCTCCCCGTCCTCCCCCCCAAGCGAACTGCAATCCTTCGGTGCTGCCACCACCTTCTATTGCCCCCAAAAGCAGCGTTTCAATTTCTGAGGCGTCCTTCCCCTCGCTCTGCTCTTTCCCTGCTTCCTTTCCCTGAAGCCCCTGCAGCTGCTTTGCATGCCCAAAGTCCTGGCCACGTTGGCATCATCGCCTCTAAATCACAAACCGGCCACACGGGGAGGACCAGAACTGCAGTGGGCGGGGCCAGGGAGCAAAGTGGGTGGGGCCATGTCCTCCCAAGGGCAAAGATTCTCGGCGGAAAGGCCCTGGGATGGTTTGGCTTTGCGTTTGGGCCTCAACCCATGCAGAGAAAAGGGAATCCCAGTAAAATAAACGTTCGGCTATTGGTTTTTCTCACCCAAAAGGGAAGGCAGGCAAGCTGGGCCGTCCATTTGGGGTCCCTAAAAACAGGACGGGGGTCCAGAAGCCTCGGACTCCTTATTTGCAAGAAGTGGGATCAAGGAGCAGCTGAGAGAGAAAAGTCTTTCTTGTTGCAAGATCCCTGAATCCAGAATCCTGTGGGATGGATCGAGGAAGCAGGTCCTCTTCCCAAAGGAATGCCTTCTGTTCTTTGCTCTGGATTTTGTTGACAGCTAGTCCTCTACTTACGACCACAATCCTACCCCCTCCTATTTCAATTGCTAAGCGAGGCAGCTGTGGTGAGCTTTGCCCCATTTTACGACCTTTCTTGTCACAGTTCTTAAGTGAATCTCTGCAGTCGTAAAGTTGGTCACACAGTTTTCAATCTGGTTTTTGCTTGTCAAAAGGGGGATCACGTGACCCCGGGATGCTGCCACCGTCATAAACACGAGTCACTTGCCAAGCGTCTGAGTTCTGACCACATGACCAGGGGGATGCTGCAACGGTCGTAAGTGCGAGAAACAGTCACCAATCACTTTTTTTCAGTGCTGCTGTTCCTTCCAACGGTCACTCAATGAACCGTTGTAAGTCGAGGACTGCCTGATTTAAAGTTCTATGCTGACCATCTCACTATCCAAAGCAGTTTGTGGTCACTTGTCCCTCCAAGCCGAGACCCCTTCCAGGAAAAGGGACCCAGCCGACCTCAACCCCTTCCAGAGCTGCCAAGTCCCATTTTAAAATGTGATTTTTTTCCCCTTCCTCCACGCAGGGACCACGGAGCGGGTATGCCTGGTGCAAGGAACCGCCGAAGCCCTCAACGCCGTCCACAACTTCATTGCCGAGAAGGTTCGAGAAATCCCCCAGTCGGTGGTGAAACCCGAGTCCGTCAATATCCTGCAGCCACAGACCACCATGAACCCCGATCGAGCCAAGCAGGTAAAGAACGGTGGATATTTTGTACCGGTGGGGTTTTAATTTCCTGGCGGGAAAATTTATAGTTTTGGAAAAGAAAAACAGACGGTGTCTGCGAGATTAGAGCGAAGGGCATTGCGTTTAATTTGCCTCTTCAAGTGGATTAGACTAAAGTTTTTTAAACTTGGCAACTTTAAAATGGGTGGACTTCAACTCTCAGAATTCCCCAGCTGAAGTCCACCCATCTGAAAGTTCATTAGCAGTCTGGCTGGGGAATTCTGGGACTTGAAGTCCACCCATCTTAAAGTTGCCAAGTTTAAAAAACATTGGATGAGCCCACAATTCCCATCATCCCCAGACCAGCGAAATTTGAGGAGTGGTGTAATCCAACACATTTAGATGCTATCAGATTCTGCCACAGCGTTATTATTTGAGAAAGATATATTTTTTTTTGTTTGCTCCTGTTACCTTACCAATCCATTGGTTGCAAAATATTGGCGGTCTAAAGGTTAAGCAGATGCTTCTGAAAATATCCATCCAAAATGTTATGAAGGCTTTTCATCATCTCTCATTTTCATTCAGCTTTTCCCAAGCACCTAACATTCAGACCATGTGCTATTTTTTACCATTTTGCTGGTACAGCCGAGAGTCACCTGGGAGACGTAGTGCTTATTTTCGTCTTTAATTGATGATTAAACATTGCAGAGGGCTGTCAAACTAGACTTCTCTTTCTATTATTTCTAAGTTTGAAAAGGGATCTAAATTCAGGCCCTGCATGGGGACTGACAAACAGGCGTTTTCAAATATAAATTCCAACAGATTCTTTCTGAGAGATATTTAAAATAGATCTCCATTTCTCTTGCATTAAAAACCTGGGCCTGTTACATTTCAGCAATGCATATTTTGATTGATTGATTACACGTATAAGCCGCCCATCTTGCTATCTCGAGAGCGATTCTGGGCAACTTATAGTGCAATAAAATAAGAATATAAAAACTCATTTATCAGTGTAGAAACACTTAAAATTACAGGAATTCAAGAGGAAAAAAAGGATAAAAAACCCGTCAGAATATTAGGGTCTGATGCTTTCCGCTCTCCAAATCAAACCTTAAAATGTTGGCAGAACCACCATATGGGCGGCAAATAAATTTGATAAACAAATAAAAATAAAATAAATCAACAAAATGCAAAAACACAATCTACCTTCTGTTTAAACAAACAGCCCCAAAACAATTCATGCTTTTATAAAAAGGGAGCTGCACAGAGAAAGATCTGTATGTTTCCTATTAGGAGAAGAAAATGCCTTGAAAAATTAGGAGGTGCTCTCTCTCTCTCTCTCTCTCTTTTTCTCTCCTCCTTTTTCTTTGTCTTTTCTTTTTTTCTCTCTCTCTCTCTTCCTCTCTCTCATTTTCTTTTTTCTCTCTCTCTTCTCTCTTTCTTTCTGTCTCTTCCTTTTTCTTTCTCTCTTTTTCTTTTTTTTCTCTCTTTCTCCTCCTTTTTTTCTCTCTCTCTCTTTTTTCCCCTTTCTCTCTCTCTCTTTCTCTCTTTCTCTCTCATTTTCTTTCTCTTTCTCTCTTTCTTTCTGTCTCTTCCTTTTTCTTTCTTTCTCTTTCTTTCTCTTTACTTTCTCTCTCTTTCTTTTTCTCTCTCTTTCTTTCTGTCTCTTCCTTTCTCTTTCTGTCTCTGTCTCTTTCTCTATTTTACTTTCTCTCTCTCTCTCTCTCTCTCTCTTCCTCCTTTTTCTTTCTCTTTCTCTCTCTCTCTTTCTTTTTCCCTTCCCCCCCTCTCTTTTGCCATTCAAGCTTCATGTACACAGAAGGGATTGGATCACAGGTCTGCATTGTCCCTGGATTGTGCCGTTGCTATGACAGCCAGTTGTGGGTTGTGGCTACAAGCCAGGCACAAAGATGATGCCACATTTACACAGGAGGCAGGAATGTGGTACAGAAGTCACTTTATCTGCCCGTCTGGATAGATGTGGAAAGAGAAAGTATTTCTTAAATGCTTCCTTGACTCCTAAAATTAGCCTTCTTTTTCAGAAGACATTGTGACCTTCTTCCCACATTCTTATGAAAATGCTCTTTTTTAAAATATTTTTTTAATCCTGCCTTTATTACTTTTGGAATAACTCAAGGCTACAAACATACATAATACTCCTTCGTTCTCATGTTTTTCTCACAACAACAACAATAACCTTGTTGGGTTGGACTGAGAAACCTGTTGGAATTGACCCCAAGTCATCCAACTGGCTTTCAAGTCAACGGGGAAGCCAGATTCACTTAACAACCAGGTTACTTAACAGCTGCAGTGATTCGCTTAACAAATTGTTGCAAGAAAAGTCATAAAATGGAGCAAAACTCCTTAATGAATTTCTAACTTAACAAAATAAATTTTGGCCTCATTTGTGGTCGTAAGACAAGGCCTTCCTGTATCCACTCCAATCTCCAGAGCCAACAGCATTATTAAAGAAACACACACAAGGACCCACAAACACACAGACACACAATCTCATTCAAGGCCCCACACATTTAATTATATCTGAATCCTAGGAGTCCAACTTAATCCCAGTATACGTCAAGTGCCTTCTGACTAAACCCGTGTACATTCAGCCGTTCAGCAGAGGCACTGCCAAAATTCTCCGCGCGCCCTCTTGTCTTCCAAATTCATCATCCCGGGCAATAACCAAACAGCAAATGCGGGCTTCTAGTCCTCATGCATAATTCATATTTCCCCCTCCTTGTCGGAAAAGGGCAAATGAGGTTCCGGCTATAAGTAGAACAAGTTTTGCTTTCCTCTCATGTGTGCATTTGGGCGTGTGTGTGTGTACGCTCAGACAGAGATTTCACTTTCTATCACGTCTAAGATGGAACGCCTGGAGCCCAAACATGTCAAAACTTCGCCTGTCCCTCCGTTGAAAGGGTCACAAGGCGGCCCAACCCGGAATTGTCCTAAATCTTGAGGGTTTCAATGGATGGAGAATGATGCTGTCCATGGTGCTGAAGGCAGTTTTGCAATTAGGCTGTTTGGCAAATATAGTAGAATATAGGATGATTTTTTAAAAAAAATTAAAAGGGGATGGGGGGGAGGAAGAAAATTAATGGGCCTCTATTGTCTGCGGTTTATTTTATACGACTTTTTAACTTGCCCCTGACAAGACAAGACAAAGCCTTAGTAAGACCACACTTGGAATACTGCGTCCAGTTTTGGTCACCACACTATAAAAAAAGATGTTGAGACTCTAGAAAGAGTGCAGAGAAGAGCAACCAGGATGATAAGGGAACTGGAGGCTGAAACATACGATGAACGGTTGCAGGAACTGGGCATGGCTAGTCTAATGAAGAGAAGGACCAGGGGAGACAGGAGAGCATCTTTCAATATTTGAAGGGCTGCCACAGAGAGGAGGGGGTCAAGCTATTTTCCAAGGCACCCGAAGGCCAGATAAGGAATAATGGATGGAAACTGATCAAGAAGAGATTCAACCTGGAAATAAGGAGGAATTTTCTGACAGGGAGAACAATCAACCCATGGAACAGAAGTTGCCTTCAGAAGTTGTGGGAGCTTCATCAGTGGAAGCTTTCAAGAAGAGACTGGACTGCCATCGGTCAGAAATGGTGTAGGCCCTACACTGTAAGGTCTCCTGTTGGGCGGGGGGTTGGACTGGATGACCTACAAGGTCCCTTCCAACTCTGTTAATATGTTTTAAAAAAACCTGGTTGAATTGGATTGCAAAAGAGTTTAGAAAGCAGTACAGGTAGTTGTTGGCTTACAACAGTTGGTTTAGTGACTGTTCAATGTCGCAACGGCACTGAAGAAAGGGACTTATGACTGTTTTTCATACTTATGACCATTGCAGCATCCATGCCGTCATGTGATCGAAATTTGGATCCTTGGCAAGCGACTCCTAGTTACAATGGTTGCAGTGTCCTGGGAGGGTGTGATATGATCTCCCTTTTGCGACCTCAAAGTCAACGGGGAAGCCAGATTCATTTAACAACTGTGCTACTAATTTAAAAATGGCAGTGTTTTGTTTAACAACGGTGGCAAGAAAGGTCGTAAAATGAGGCAAATCTCACTTAACAAATGTCTCACTTAGCGATATAAATTTTCGGCTCAACTGTGGTCGCAAGTTGAGGACTACCTGTAAAAACCCTAAACCTGTGTCAATTAAACCTAATTGCTATTTTTTTTTGTTGGCATGAAATTGTACTGATGAGTAACAGGGTGATCTGGTTCCTCACGGACACACTAGCTCAGAAACACCATCATCCCACTCTTTTTATTATAAGAAAAGTATGTATTTAATATTACATGTTTTAGCAGCAGTGAGGATTATCTTCGCACGATATTGGAAAAACGAAGAAACACCGCAAGATGAAGAGATAATTAGGACGATATTAGATTGTGCAGAAATGGATAGACTTACATTGAAAATTAAACAGAAAGAAGACACAAAATATTACCAAACATGGAATTTATTTTACCAGTGGTTGGAAAAAAGGGGTGGAGAGAATAATAATGGAACCTGTGTTGCTAAAGCAAATTAAATACCCAGACATCACGATGTTCATTAAGCACTAAGAAATGTAATTAATAGAAAATTAATAAAATTTATTTTTTTTAAAAAAAATGACATAATCCTGGTTTAGCCCAGTTTAGCATGAAACGCCATCCCGCCCTGATGTAGAAGAGGGTTAGAAGTCACAATCCGAACTCAATGCTCTTCCTCTCCTTTCCCCCCCAAATTCAGGCCAAAGTGATCGTCCCAAACAGCACAGCTGGGCTGATTATCGGCAAAGGCGGCGCCACCGTCAAAGCCATCATGGAACAGTCCGGCGCTTGGGTGCAGCTGAGTCAGAAACCCGAAGGCATCAACCTCCAGGAACGCGTGGTGACCATCAGCGGTGAGCCTGAGCAGATCCACAAGGCCATCGACATCATCGTCCAGAAGATCCAGGAGGATCCGCAGAGCAGCAGCTGCCTCAACATCAGCTACGCCAACATTACTGGCCCAGTGGCCAACTCTAACCCAACCGGATCACCCTACGCCAACTCTACAGACGTTCTACCTGCGGCCGCAGCTGCCGCCACCGCTTCAGGCTTGTTGGGCCACACCAGCCTGGCTGGCGTTGGCGCCTTCCCAGCTGCCCTGCCGGGTTTTTCCGGCAGCGACCTCTTGGCCATCAGCACAGCACTCAACACCTTAGCGAGTTACGGATACAACACCAATTCTTTGGGGCTCGGCCTCAATTCGGCCGCCGCTTCCGGGGTCCTGGCCGCGGTGGCCGCCGGAGCCAACCCAGCGGCTGCGGCCGCTGCTAACCTCTTAGCTTCGTATGCTAACGAAGCTTCTACGAGTACCACGGCCCCAGCCGGTGCAGTTGGCGCCTTCACCTTGGGCTCTTTAGCGGCGGCCACCGGGGCAGCCAACGGCTACTTAGGGACTGCCTCCCCGTTGGTGGCCAGCTCCTTCCTAGCCACCGAGAAGCTAGTGGAAAGCGCTAAAGATATGGTGGAGATCGCAGTGCCGGAAAACCTAGTAGGTGCCATTTTGGGCAAAGGCGGGAAGACGTTGGTCGAGTATCAGGAGCTGACAGGGGCCCGCATCCAGATTTCCAAAAAGGGTGAATTTATTCCAGGTACCAGGAACCGTAAAGTCACCATCACCGGCACGCCAGCCGCCACCCAAGCCGCGCAATATCTCATCAGCCAGCGAGTAACGTACGAGCAAGGAGTCCGGGCCACCAACCCACAGAAAGTGGGATAAGAGGAGGCCAAAGAGAAGGCCTGGGGAGGGGAGGAGGAATAGGTTCAATCAGCCCATTCATCATGAAAAATGGTAACCGCCATGACCCCGACCCCTGCCCAGTGCCCGTCTCTCTACCACACACACACACACACACACACACACACACACACACACACAGATACACAGAGCCCCCTCTGATTGGGAAGCAGCCCATCATATTCTGCCGGACGTTTATTTCACCAACGGTGTGGCCTGATTGTGTATATATTTCTCTCTCTCTCGGTCTACATATATATATTTATATATATATGGCGACGTTTTCTTTTCTTTTTTCAGTTGATGGATTTGAATAGAGAAACAAAAAAAGATTTTTTAAAAAAGAAAACAGTCCTCTTTCTTTCCCTCTCTGTTTCTGAGTCTCCGAACGAGTCCGATGGAGCAAGGACCGACCTCTCTAGCTTTCTTTCCTCTCTCCGGGAGAGGGTAGATCAGCTTCAGGGATCTCTCGGTGGGCTTTCCGTGCCCTTCTCCACGTCCCTTTGATCACGGGTAGATGGTCAGGTTGGGTCTTGGGAAGGAAACGGGGAAGGAGTTAGGCCCCGACTGGAAGCGTGACATTATTCCTGCCGTGATCGATTCCGCTTCTCTCTCGGAGCAAAAGGAGGCAGTTGGGTTTCCGCTTCTGAGTTGCCTTGTTTGTCCTGAATGAAGATGAGGCGGGAGAAGGAGAGGTTGGGGTAACAACCTTGTTCAGTTGGCTTTGAAACAAACAACTATATTACCATTCAAAGCACATTTTTACAGGTAGTCCTCGACTTACGACCACAACTGAGCCCAACATTTCCATTGCTAAGCAAGACAGTGGTTCAGTGAGTTTTGCCCCATTTTACGACCTTTTCGCCACAGCTGTTAAGTGAATCGTTGTTCAGTGAATCGCGGCTTCCTCCCCCTCCCCTCCCTTGACTTCGCTTGCCGGAAACCAGCTGGGAAGGTCGCAAAAGGGGAGCCCGTGATCCCAGGACGCTGCAACTGTCATAAGTGCATGCCAGTTGCCAAGCACCTGCATTTAGACCGGGGAACCGTGGGGGACGCTGCAACGGTCCTAAATGTGAAAAACTGCTTATAAGATCACTTTTCTCAGTGCTCTTGTAACTTTGAGCGGTCACTAAACGAATGGTTGTAATTCGAAGACTACCTGAATTCTTATTTTTCGTAGGGAAACGCTGTGTCTTTCCTCTCCATTTCCCCAGCCCTGGTGATCAAAACACGGTCCTTAGATGAAGGTTTCGTAGACAGGATCTGTGTTCGGTGTTCTACTGAAGGAGGAGGAGCTTGAACCAGGGGTAGAGAACTGGATCCAGGTATTGACGCAGGGAACTCATGACGATAGGTGTCTTCTTGTCTTGCTGGGGATCTTGCCCAGAGTTGCTGCGGTGACTCTTCCTCGGGTTTGGGATGAGCATCCCCCAATTGCAAAGAAGGCTGAACCTCCTGAGATATACAACATGTTGAACCTCCTGAGATACGACCTGCGTCCTGGAAGGAGAGGGTCAGGTCCTTCTTGTGTGATGAAAGTCAGACTTGTGGAGTCAGGGTCGGAGGTGGTATTCAACTGGTTCGGACCGGTTTGCCTGAACTGGTAGCGGAAATCACGGGTGGCCCAGCCCACCTGCCTTGGCTCTATGCCGTCCTATTTAGGCACCTTTTTGAGGCCCAAGGCACACGCTCACATATGCGAACCGGTAGGGAAAGTAAGTGAATACCAGCCCTGGTTAGGGTTTGGGGACCTTCTTCCTGCGGTCCACCTACAATTTGTTGTGTCTTCCTTCCCAGATGAGGTGCTGCGTCCCCTCTACTCTCACACCCAGTTGTGTTTGGGCCACAGGAAGATCTTCATACAGGAAGGTGGCATCTGAACCTGGAAAGGCCCAAACCCCAGCTTTTAGCTACAACTCTTAGCAACAGTGGTGGGAAATTTGGAAGGAACGACGTGGCAACGAAAGCTCCTGTTTCTCCAGGGGACCAGTCAGTATTATGGGCTGTTGAGCTTCTCCTCAAGCCCAGACAATTGTGTTTTCTTTCTGACTTTCTTTTTTCTCTGTTTATTCACCCTCTGATATGGTGTTCCTTAACCTTGGCAGCCGGAAGAGGTGTGGACTTCAACTCCCAGAATTCCCCAGCCAGAGGTTTCAATCTCCCATCAGAATTCTGGGAGTTGAAGTCCACACCTCTTCCGGCTGCCAAGGTTGAGAACTTGCTCTTAGTATAAACCAGCAGTATTACTAACCCACCATGGTGAGGTGGCCTTCATTCATCTCCTCCCTTCGTTCTCGTGAATCTTCCCAGTGAGGGTGTTCTGGTCTTCGTGTAGTTCTTTTTCTTTTCTTTTCTTAAGATCATAGTTTGATCAGGGCTTCCTGTTCCCAGTGTAAACTTCGAGTAGCCGTGAAGGCCACATCAAGAACAGGTCCCACCACCACCCAAGTGGTGACTTACCACTTGGTAGGACTCTGCGTCTTGATCTTCTAGTTTGGTTAGTTTCCAAACGGGATGACCGCTGGGTTATCTCCTCCTCTCCTCCTCTCACCCTCAAAGGGTACAATGGATGGATGAAGGAATGAATGAATATTAAAAAAAACACAGGGTATCTCCCTGCTATGTTTACATATCGGGCTCGTGTCGTTCTCTCCGTCCGTAGGGAGCTCGCCCGCTTGTCGGCTTTTGAAGGTTGCCAGCATTTTAACCAAGAGTTTCTTGATCTTGGGTTCCTCCCCCCCCGAGGATGATCAGAGTTGAGTCGGCCAGCAAGGCTGAACAAATCGACCACACATCATTGCAGTGTTTGTGGTAGCTTGCTCCTTATGTGTTTCTTCTAAGGATGATGGCGTTTATCCAAACAGGGCTGGAAAAGGTAGCTTGAGGGAGGACCTCACGTTGTTGGCTTGTCTGATGGCTTGTGACAGTTCCCAGTTCTGTCATTCAGCATAAAAGGCCTGAGTTGTGAAGTCAAAGTCTACCTCTTCCCAGAAGATCCCACCAAGGTGTAGAAGATAGCATGATGTTGCTGGTGGACGTCTACCCGGGCATTGTGTTGGTTGAGCTAGGCGTGTTGGAAATGTAGCGGAGTTGGTGACCTAATGTTTCTTGAAGTTGGGGGGGAGAAGTCTCACGGGAGTCCTAGAGAGCCCCAATGTTCTCTAGGATAGAAGTTGCTGGCTGGTGCATTTGGTGTCCTTCTCAAGACTCGAGACCCGAAGAAGCTGAAAAACGTAACTAAGGAGAGAAGGTCTCCAGCCTCAAGTTTCTTCTCTTGAGGGCTTGGCCAGGTCCTTGTCTGTCCCTCTGGCACAGATTTTCCTATGCTGCATTAAAATTCCCCCCCTCCCTCGACTCTTCAGCACTGAGTTATGGACTTCTGCAATATTTCAGTGACTCTCAAAGGGGGGGAAAAACCCACAGTTCCTTTCAGACTGTCTCCAAACCATCGGGTGGAGATTCAGATCTGCCAGGAAAGAACTTAGCACACGGCCCATCTTTCCTTGAGGCTCTTAAAACAAAGAGTTTGATCAACTGACCGGCTCGCTTAGGCCAACAGCTCTGGTTTCGGGGCGGTAGAAGTGGGGACATATAATGGGTGGGTGGGTGGGTTTAATCTCTTAGGTAGTAGCATGTGTCTGTTTTCCTTCTTAGGCCGAAGGGAGGGTCTTAAGACTCTGAGAACCACTAGAGAACAAACAAAAACAAAAATGTGAAACTTATATACTATTAATGTGTTGGTTTTTTTAAGGAAGCAATATCTATTTAGCATCTTGCACTGATTTTATGGAGTAAGAATGACTGCAATCAGCATTTTATCGACCAAGATTCACAGCTAGGGATGTTTTTCGCAGGCAGTGGGTGGGAGGGGGGAGAAATCACCCTGCCTTTCCACTGGCTGAGATTCTTATTCTTATTATTTTTATTTTTACAATGAACAAAAAAATACTGTTGCAGTTTTGCAGGTGCATTGCATATCATGCTTTCCTTGGGGTGGGCTTGGGGTGGGGCTGGGGGGGCCGAGGGGAGAAGGATGATATGGAACAGATTTTTGTGCCAAACTCTCTGCGTCTTTTTAAATATGGTCAGTATTGAAGGGAGAAGGAGCCTCTTACTAATTTCTGCCCCCCCAAATCCTGTGTATATTTCGACAGTACAGATCGTCTTCGACTTACGACTCCCATTTGGACCATAGTTTCCATCGCTGGGGGTCGTTAAGCAAGTGAGACCCGATTTTATGAACTTTTTTGATGAAGCAAATTATCACAGTCGCTAAGCGAATCGGATGATCGTTAAGCGAATCCATCTCCCCAACCCCCCTTGACTCGGCTTGTCCGGAAGTCAGTTGGGAAGGTCTCAGCTGGTGATCACGTGGAAAACGCCCCCCCCCCCCCAGGCATTGCAACTGTCGAAAATACACACCGGTTGACAAGCGCCCAAATTTTGATCACCTGACCATGGGGAATTCTACAGTGGTCGTAAGTGCGAGGACCAGGCTGCTACTTCCTTTTTTTCAGTGCCATTGTAATTTTCAGCGGTCACTAAACGGAATGGTCGTAAGTTGAGGACGACCTCTATCTGATCCCTGCTTCTTCTTATTTCACCCCACTTTCCTTCCTCCCTGTGTGCCGAACTGGGCGCCTCTCAGTATCACCGTTGTGTGCCAAGGAAACGAGGATTCAGCAAGAAATAAGGAGAACGGCATTCTGCCTCAAATTGGGCTCGGCAGCCCCATTGGGCCAATATCTCTCATTTTGCATATTCCTGTAAAATTCCTGCAAAAAGGAGGAGAACCAAGGATGACCAGGAAGGCCCCTTTCTCTGCCCTTCCTCGGTCGCAGAAATCCATCTGAAATTGCAGAAGTCGGCTTCCCTAATTCTGGTTTGTTTGTTTTTTCAAAAGCGACTTTCGGGTTTTAATTAAGGAAGCCGGCTGTTGCACGTTGCAAATTCCGCAAATTTGCAAATTCTGCAAATTGCACAATTTTTTTTTTTTTTTTTAAAAATGAAATTGCAATTTCTTGCAGCTTGGGAGGCAGAAAATCCCTGCCCTAATTTCCCTAGCAGAATTCCTGCTGTTTCCCCACCGCCTTTTAGGATAGGTCTCCGAGGAGAAAAGACATCGGGTCTAGAAATAAAAGTAGGATATTGGGAGGTGAAGTCCATGAGTCTGGTTTAATTCGTTCTTTGGTCCCCAAACCTTGCTGCCATGCCAGGCTAGGGAGAGAGTCCACATGTCCATTTAATTCAGGGGTGGGCAATTAATTTCCAAGCCCTTTTCCTTGTCTCTCCTCCTTTTCCCTTTCCTCCTTCAAATCCACGCAATTACAGGTACTCCTCGATTTACGA